GAAGAATTAGAGAGAAAAATAAAATGGCTTACTTGCAGTCGAAAGATAAAAAGAATTCTTGAAATTGATGGAGATTATCTGAAATTGATGAAATTCGTTCAAGTTGGGTTCCTGCATATGTGAATCATGTTTTTTAAGCCGGAATGACAAGTAGCCAACGAGTAGAAAGTTGCCATGCATTCTTCAAGAGATATGTTTCCAAAAATAATTCTTTAACCGACTTTATAACACGGTTAAGTAGGGCACTTGTACGACAACGTCATTAGGAGTTAAGTGCTGATCATATTGATAAGAATGAGAAACCTGTGTTGAAATTGCCATTAGAGATGGAAAAGCAAATGGTTGGGACTTACACACGTAAAATTTTCTATGAATTTCAAGATTAATTATGGTGCAATTTGTTATATATGGTTGAGTTGACAAGTGAGACTGCCAATTATTGTGTGTACAAAGTTAAGAGGAGAAACAATGACCATGGCTCCAGAGTGCGAGAAATTGTTCATGAAAAAGAATTGGATTTTGCTTCGTGTAGTTGCAAAAAAATTGAGAGTCAAGGAATCACATGTAGACACATCTTAGCATTTTTGAATACTATGCGGTTCACTTATTTGCCACATCAATACATCTTGAAGAGATGGACTAAAACAGAAAATTTAGAGAGAGTTTTTTATGATGACGGTTTGGAATTAAATGATTTTTCTGAAAAATCATTTCTTGTGAGACGAACTAGATTGTTTCAACTTGCTTCAGATGTAATTGATAAAGCTATGACAAATGAAGAAGCAAGTGACATCGTAGCAAAAAAAATTACAAAATGCGCTTGAGGAGATCAAACCTATAGTTGATGCTACAAGTGGAGTTCCTGAAAAATGTAGTACTACTCGAGCACACAAGTTTAATGAACCACTTCCTGTTAGAGCCAAAGGTTGTGGAGAAAGGTTAAAAAGAGGAAAAGAGAAAGGAAAGAGTAAGAGTAGGCGCTGTCATGGATGCGGAAAAATTGGACAATCACATGATAAAAGAAATTGTCCAATGCTAAAAAATGGGTGAGTGTGTAATTATTATTCAAAATTTTTATATATGAATATTGCATCAATCGTCTTAATTATTGTTTTCCTTTGATGTAGATGCAATGATGCAAATTCAAATTTATCTGATACAGATGAGAGTTCCTTCTCCATAGGTAATGTTGATGTATATATGTGTGTTAATTTATTGACAGGAAAATTGAAGTAACACATTATGATATTCATTTTTCCTTTAACAGGCTAAAAATTACCTGGAAGTGCAAACATGGGCTTCATACTACAGTCATGAATATGGGACATCTTGCACTTGAGTCTAGACTATGCGAATAAACATGAGGACATGGGAATCTTTTAGGTTTTTTTATATATAATTTTTCTTGCAAAGATGAATTTGAACCAAAGAGATGCTGCAAGGACAAGTAATTTGTAGAACTTTTATATTTCAAGAGTTCTTTTAACTTTTTCTTAATAATAAGGTATTATTTGCTTAAAGTATTTTTTCTTATTGGAGCATGTCAATTATAAAGAAAACATAGGTATCAAACAAACAGTGACAATTGGTTTCAAAGAGAGAAAAATGACAGGAAAAAAAGAGTAGAAAGAAAAATTGAGAAAAAGCGAAAGAAGGAAAAAAAGAAAAAAGAAAAGAGAATGAAACAATTACGAGAGAAGTATGAGAGTGATAATGAAAAAATGAAACAGGAGAGAGAATGAAACAATTGTGTCTATCTTTAGTTTCAAAGTGAGAAAGAACGGAAAAAAAAAAAAACAACGAATGGAAAGGCAAAAATGAGAGGAGGAATGTATAAACCAATTAAATTTGTCAATTAATTGGTGGAGAGAGAAACAAAGAAACACCCATTGCAGAAAGGTTCACAACCTCCAATTAAAATTTTCAATTAATTTATAGGTTATGATTGCATATGACCTGCCATTAAGGACAAAATTTATCAAGAGGGAGAGAGAGACATACGGAGGGAAGAGAGGGAGAGAGAGAGAGAAAAGAAAGAGAAGAAAGAGAAAGAAAATTAAAAAAAGAAAGAGAGGGTGAGAGACAGAGAGAAGAAGAAGAGAGAGAAGGGAAAATGTGAGGTAATCGAGAGAAAGAAGGAGAGAGAAAGGTATGATAAGTTTGATATAATATTAAATTAGTTTAATAATCATTAAAGTGGCTGCCAATTGTGCTTGAAAAAAAAAAACCAAAGAGTTGATCTGCGCGTGGTTTTAAGTTTTGTCTATTAGTACATATCAAAGCTGCAGAACCATTAGATTGATCTGACGTTTCACTTTTAGTGTCCGTATTTTAATTAAAATCCAATTATCCTGATGTGAGCAAAATTGTATATATATATTGTATAGTAAACTTACGTTTTTTTTTTTATATATAAAAAACACTCCAGGTGAAACGACGTCGTCTCATTTAAATCTTTTTAAAACACTGCAATCGAAACGACGTCGTTTCATTACAATTAACCTATAAAAAAAACACAGAGTCGTCTTCCTCGCAGAGTCGCAGCCAATTTGCAGACTCGCAAAATTTCTTCCGGTTCAGAAGTGTCCAGATCTGGCGCGCCTTGCTCCGCCTGGCCACGCCTTGAAACGCCTCCTCACGCCTTCCCCGCGCTAAACGTGCAACTCGCGAAACAGCCGACCGCCTCGGGCGATTTCCTGCCGCCTCGCTCCGACGCGCGCGAAGGCATGCCTTTGAAAACACTGGAAACAGAGAAAGACCCATATCATGTTTGTTTCCTTTTGTTTATATTTTTTTATTTGAATATGTGATGAAATTTCTCTGCGTATAACTCATTAGGATATTGCTAGAGCACAATAGTTAAATTTCTGTAAGATTTGGTGTTGGATGCAATAGGTAAGTTATTAATCTAGCCATTACTTTGTTTTTTTACAGATGAACTCTATACACTATTAGAAACATTATAAATTCAAACCCGGACGCAATGTTGTATCCCATTGTATCCTTAAGCCCTGAAATTAAAATAAAAGAATACCTCTGTACATGAAAATTGAAAATAGTTTGATAGCGTGGTTAGTATCCCGAATTACATATGCAAGAGTTTCTTCCCCTCGCATCTTGCGATTACCCTGTTATTAAATTTTATCTAGCAACTGGTGGTACTTGAGTGAGTATATATTACTATTAGTGAAGACACCATCTCCATCACAAATAAAATAGAAAAACATCTGATACGAATTTGTGTGTGGTTTCTGGGCATGAAGTAGTTTCAAACTGGAAATGTATGAAGGAGTATAGGAAAATCTGTTCTAGTTTTCTATATAAGTTTAGTAATGTATTTGCCTATTTTTGTTCTTCAAATGTTTTAGAATGTTTTAATGAGGATGTGGTTTACTATCAATACTACTATCATTATGATTTTTCTTCTGGGTCATTGAAGGATTCGAGTGTTTATCTCTGTCCTCACATCCTAATTTAGGACACAAGACAGATTGTAGTTCAGTACACTCAGCTATCCTCAATGCTTGGGCACAAAACTTAGATTGTGTAATACGTAGATAGCAGGTTGCAAAATGTGTGCATATCCATTTTAGTAAGAGGAGCACTCTTTTTTTAAGTGACATATTTGATGCTCTTTTTATGTTTAGGGTTTTCCAGTAATCCATTGTGTTCTTATCATCTTTTATTTAGACCTTTTAATGATTGAATGATCTTGGATATGATTGTTCGTCACTAAATTGGTATTTTGTGGTCTACAAGCTTATAAGAACAAACAGTAATTCATTGTTGATACATTCATAAGTTGATGTAGAGGAAGGGATAGTCATACAAGGAGCTAAGAGATGTTAAATCTAATGATTATATTTTCTGTTTTGGAGGATAATTATTGTTAACCAATATGAATAAGGATGGATAGGATGGGTTGGAACAAAAAATTAACCATATATGCCAAATAGCCGATTTTTTGTTGCTCATCTGTTGGTGATCAGTATGTGCTTATGTTTAATGGTTGACTGTATTGCAACCCTTTATTTTGAGTTGGCATGAGTTTTGGCTTACAAATTTTGGTCCTACTCTTATTATAAATAGTTTCAACATAATAAACAGGGAGAAATTATAAATTTGCTTGCTAATGCTCTGATGAAGAAACTCACAAGCTCAGACCCCTCCAAGACCCTGACACCGGATCACATGAATGGCGTCAAACAATGCCTTTCTGTATTCTACCCTGTGTTTCGCTCACCTGATCATCCCACCTATGCTGTGGTACCACACTCTTTTGCCTTACTAATGCTTCTTCAGTAAGACTTTTTCTGATTGTTTCCTATTTTTTACTTTTGGAATGTTATATTTGGGCAGATGATACAGAGGGCAATTGCTGAGTTGAACGAGGAAGGGGGTTCGACTCAAGAAGCAATATCAGAATTTATTAGAGAGCGGTTTGACTGTTTGCCATTGGCTCATGAAAGTTTCTTGAGTCATCACTTGAAGAAACTTAGTGAGAGCGGAGAAATTCTGAGTGCTTCAAATAATTATTATATGCTTCCGGCTGAAGAAAATGGTTATGTTTCTCGAAGGGAGCGAGTGCAGAAAAAAGAGAGTAGTGGGCTGGGTAGGGGAAGAAGAACAAGAAATGGAATTGAGCATAAAAAACTGGCAGAAAAACAAGTTGAAGTAACTGAACATAGAGAACAGAGGCAGCAAAGTCAGGAGCCCGAGGTGATAGTTGATCAAAATGGATGCTCAGAGCAACAAAAGGAACAACAAGATGAAGTGAATGGAGAAGTTGCAATGGTTGTGGCAAAACAGAAATATAAAGCGACTAAAGAACAATTTGAAGTAACTGAACATAGAGAATGGAGGCAGCAAAGTCAAGAACCAGAGGTGATAGTTGATCAAAATAGATGCTCTGAGCAACAAAATGAACAACATGATGAAGAGAGAGGAGAAGTTGCAATGGTTGTGGTAAAACAGAAATATAAAGCGACTGAAGAACAGGTTGAAGTAACCGAACAACAGAGAGAACAGGGGAAACAAAGTCAAGAACTGGGTCTACAAGAACAGCACAGTAAGGTGATTGATGATCACAGTGGACCTCCTGAGGAACAGCAAGACAAAGTGAAAGGGCAAAAAACTGAAAAACAAATGCAAGAAGTTGCTGTGATTGTTGAAAAGCAGCACAATTCAGAAGAGAAATATAAAGCAACTGAAGAACAAGTTGAACTGATTGAACAGAGACAACATGGGCAGAATTGTCTTGAACCGAATCAAGAGCAAGATGAACTGATTGGACACCAAAGTCAAACTGAAATGCAAGAAGTTGTAATGATTGTTGAAAAGCAGAATAATGCAAAAGAGAAATATAAAGTGACTGAAGAACAGGTAGAAATTACTGAACGGAGATTACATGGGCAACAAAGTCAAGAACTGAGTCTAGAAGAACAGCATAATATGGTGATTGACATTCAAAATGGATCTCCAGAGAAACAAAACGAACATGCTGATGGATCTCCAGAGAAACAAAATGAACATGCAGATGAAGCAAATTGGCAACAAATTCAAAAACAAATGCAAGAAAATGCAGTGAATTTTCGAAAGCAGAGTAATGCAGAACAGAAATATAAAGTGACTGAAGAAAACATTCAAGCACAAAGGGATGAACTTATTGAAGAACGGTGTCAATCTGAAGAACAACAATGTGAAGTGACCAGAGAACAATTACAAATTGAAAGAATTGAAAGAGAGATTCAGTTACTAGAGGAACAAGTTGAAATAATTGAAAAGATGACTAAACCAGGAGAGCAAATTGAAATGATTTCTGAACGAAATAAGCCACAAGAGCAAAGTGAATTAATATCCAAGATCGTTGGTTCTCGGTCAGCCATTTTCTTTCTGTATTCAGTATTAGTTGTGTTATTGGCTATTTTGCGCATGCCAGTCTCATTTCATAAACAGCAATATGCAGGAGTTATTATCAAAGAAGCAAGATAAAGATGCAGCTACTGCGATCAATTCAAGCCCTTCTCTTACAAGTCAAAAACTGCCCCACCATGGTTCATCATTTTTGTCTGAGGTAAATGTTGAAATGTGTATGTAATACAAAATGCAACCACTACCTATTGATTCAACTTATTTAAGCCTGGCATGTTTGTTATTGTATTTATTTTGATCAACAGGAAAATTATGTAGAATTGTTGATGAGGACACGTAAGCTTGAGGAGAAGTTGTTGGAAAATCTGTCTAGCATAAGGGAGGGATCAAACCATAGCAGTCAGAAACCTAGGACAGACTTAGAGGAGTTATTTTCAAGGCATGGAGAGCTAGCCACCCATGATAGTCAGCCGCAGATGCCCAAGTGCCAAAACAAATCAATTAACACTTTTCCTGATGTTGAATTGCCACAACAAGAGGAGATTGGAAACTTAGAAAGATCATTGGAACCGTTAACAATGGAAGCAGAGAATATCAGAGAAATATCCCGGCATGTTGGAAAGAAGACTTGTCTAAACTTTGAAGCAAAGCATGAGAAAGAAAAGCATAGTGCTGCCTGCGATCCCAACCTTTGTTGTCAGCAGAAGCCATCCGTCTCTCTGCAAGTTGCAAGTTGTGAGGATGTCCCCAAGCACTCACCAGACCAGGAACTGGAACGGAAACTGAAGAACCAGCAACCAGAACTTCAAAAGCCACAAAGACCTCAAGATGTCAAATTACTGTCAGTTGAGGGAGGCTATAAGGCTCATGAATCTGAGCCAAACATTATGGACAGTTCTGTTGATTTGCTCCAGGCATCACAGCATCAGAAGAGGCAGCTGCGTCCTCGGCATAAAAAGACATCTGAATCTGGTTGTGGGGTGCCAAAGGCACGTAAATGCGAGGTAGCAGCCATGAATTTTCTCTAGAATTGGTAGCTATCCCTCAATGAAGGGGACTGACTGCTGTAGTTTCAGATTCAAGTGATTTTTTTTTTACATATATATAACATCTATTGGTAGCCATCTCCTGTATATATATTTTTTATACAGATATATATATATATATATGTATATGCGTGTTGACCAATAGATGTTAATGTGACTCCAATTTCTTGTATTACATAGGAACTTGAGAACAAGAAGCAGCCCAGAGAAGAAATACAGGACATGGGTATGAAGCTTGATCATTTTGCAGTTAAGCTGTCATTTCAAGCACAGAAAAATACACAGGAGCCAGCACAGCAGAGGCAATTGTGTCCGCGGCGCCAAAGGCAGTCCAAATCTGAAGAGTTGATCACTACATCGATGATGGAATCACCACCCACAAGGCATCAGGATCCCCTGATATCAAACCTTCAAGAAGCTGAAAAGCCTCAGGAGCTAAAGACATCAGCAGCGAAAACAGGCCCCACACAGCAGCAGAGGCAACTTCGACCTCGAGACAAAAAGCTGCCTGGATCTAGGGCAGTTCTGTCACCTTCACAATCTCTGGATGAGCAGTATCCATTGCTTTCAAACAGTGGAAGATCTCAAATGCAACAGCCGAGAGTGGATGATTCATCTCAGCTGAAGAACCGACATCGACATGATGAATTGTCCCAAACAATAAAAGAGCTGCAGCGTCATATGAAATTACATTCACACAGCCAAGGTGTTTCACAATCTGATCCTAGTGTGTCCATGACAAAATCATCACCCTCACAGAACCAATGTGAGGAACCCCAAGAAAAGATGCAACATGATGAATTGCAGCACCTGAAACATCAAAAGCATAAGAAGCCTCCTAGACCAAAGGAAAATGTAGACCCAACTATGGAGGTTTTGCCCCCATCAGCTGACCAGCAGCCACAGAAGCGAGGAAGAGGGAGGCCTCCTAAAGCAAAACTGGCTACAGCTTCAACCAGCAATGCATCACTGCCTGCTAAATGCCAGAAGCAGAAGGAACAACCAGAAAAACGAAAACAAGGGAGGCCCCGTAAGTTGACAGCAAAAATTACTTTAGCAAGGACCAGATTGACCTTAAAGAACCAACCACAGCAACAAAAGCGAGGTAGGGGAAGGCCTCGAAAAGTGACTGAGGAAACCTAAGAAGGCAACCATGAATGTTCTGTTCTCTAATATCACTAGCATTGTAGTTCACCAGTTTGTAATATGGTTTACCTTGGTAGGATTTTTCCTCGGAGAAAACAAAGAATCATCTTATGTTTTTAACTTATTTAGTAACCATGGAACTGTCAATGCCAGGTTGATTCCAAACATATACCAAAATTTGTTCATGTTCTTTCTGCAAGGAAGGTATAATTTTTGCCCCCTTTCTACTCACAGAAGACGGATTCTAAGGTTTTTCCCAGGTTAGAGAACTTTTCCCGCTGTCCTCCTTTCAACAGGGATTGAATTATTATTGCATAAAGAGCAATGGCCATGGCAAAACTATTATATAAATGGAAAACACTCGAAATTTATGCATTGAAGGTTGAAATAATAGAGCTGCAAATTTAAGCGTTGAGATCCATTGTCAAATAGTGAATTTACCAATCTTGGTTAATCAAAAGATGTTTTAGTAACATATTTTTTGAAAAAATTCGAGTGCGTTCAGGTTCAGTGTTGAGTTTTTCTTACCAAATGCTTTTAAAATGTGGTGAAAGAAAAATTCAATACTGAATTTTATTTTTAACAAATCCACTTTCATTTTCACCATTGAAAGGGGTTGCCAAGATACCCTTAGTCGATTAATTCCACATTGTTCTTGGTGTTGATGTGCTTTGCATTTCAACAGAGTTTCAGTCTAAAGAAGTTGCCAGGTTTAGCCATCTATCCCCCCTTAGCATGGGCATGGCTGTTTTCATTGTTCCTTTTCACTTTGTGTTTGTGAGGTATTTTTAAATATTTTTAAAGAAATAAGCATACAAAATTAATGAAATGGGGAAGTTGATAAGTTTTTTTTCTTCTGTATACAAGCGATATTCATAAATGTGATACGAATGCAGAACCTCAGATTGAGGGGTCACTTCTCTTAATCATTTGAACTACAAATTACAAGACCTCAGATAAAAAGGTCACTGCTCCTTAAACACTTGAATTACAAACTCCTTTGAGGGGAAAATTGAGAGAGAAAAAAACAAAGTTGAGCTCGAGTGTAGTGATGAATTGTTGGGTGTGTTTAGCAACACTGTAGGAAACAAACCAAAGTAGAAGTTGTTTATAACGATTTGAAATAAATATGTTTTGATATGACACAATCTCACTACAGACAGACAGAGTGAAGTGCTCTCCTACCCTCCTTTCCTTTTTTAGCTTCTCTCTTTCTCTCTCTCTCTCTCCGAGCTTCGTGTCTGCACTGTGTTTCTCTCAGTGGAAACCAACCCGACTTTATTCTATTATTGAACCTCACTTCTTTCTTCTTATTTTTTATCCCTTTCTATTTTCTTTTTCTTCTTTTCCTGATTTGAGTGCAGGATTTAATAAGCGAATGAAGCAGCCATTATTGCTGTCTTCCTGGGTTTTCTGGTCTCGCAACAAACATGGCCTTCTCTTCTTGCCTTTGCCAATCTCCACTCTCACCCAAGGTATGGTTTTTCCTTCAAGCTTCATTTTCTCTTACCTCCAATTAATTGGGTTTTTACTTCTTTTTTTCTTTCAGTGATCTTTTTCTTTAAAAATTGTAGTTTGATGGTAGGTTTGGATGAATTTCTGATCCACTTGAAATGGGTATCTGGCATAGTTTGAAATTCGTTATGTGTAGTCCATCCAATCCAAGATACAATATCAGAGTTAGCATTTTGATCTATTTGTGCTAAAATTTCTTTCCATGTCAAAGGGGTGGTATGTTTTCCCAGCGTGGTTCCAATAATTTACAGATTGGGTCAACCGGCATTGTTACTCTCTTTGTTGGCTCTTTAATTTTTCAACCTGGAAACTTATTTAGAAATAAAAACAACTAATTTGAGTTGAAAAAGTTAGTGATAATTGGTTCATTGAATATCACTTTTGATAGTTTAGAGCTCAGAGGGGTCATGAAACTAATATGCTGTATGAACCTTCTGCTGCAATTTGATGGGTTGCTCATGTAATTTTTTATTGTGCTTTTGCTGTCATTCTTCTATCTGTATTATTGAAGCATTATTGATCAATTAATTTTACTGTTTAACTGTGTAATGAGTTTGAAGTACTGGATAACTTGTGACTATTTTCATAAATAATCTCATGTTTAGCCACTGAGCATAATTTTGTCAGTGGTGGGCTTCTCTTACTATTTAAGTTCCGTTTCTGATAGATTGACTGCGGCAAGAAGATTGTCAGGCCTTGGAGTAGTGATGGAAGGAAACAAAGGTTCACTTTTTCACTCGGAAGTAATAGCACAGAACTTGTTGGTCAACAGCTTGTGACAGTGGGAGCTCACTTACACAAGCACTGGAGTTTTGTGGGAGGTTCAAGAGTTACTGTGAGACCAGAACTTGAGAGATCCATTCCACTTCGAAAAAGCTCAGGAGTATATGCATCATGTGATCCCTTCTCCCACTTTAATTCCTTTTAGTAATTTATTATTATCATTTGTAATGTTGCATGGCTGAGTTAATTATACATTGGTAGTAACAGGCCTTCGCAGAGGTATGCGAGGGCAAAAGTCTGTATGAAGACCAAAGCACATAAGTATCCTATGCATAAAAGACCAAATCGACTGACAATTGCAGCAATGTTACAAAACAGTTTGCCTATTAAACAATGTTCTTGTAACATCTAGTTGTGTAGTTCTTAGCATGAAATAAAGACTCAAACGAATCTAGTATCTCTGTATTGCCACCAATATTGTTAATTTTGACTATGAACTATAGTATAATGTGATAGCCCTGTTGAAGGCTTTATGGATTTTGCACACATGAATGAAAGTTTTGACATAGTTTTCAGAACCAATTTCTACCCGACTCTTGAGGTGTTATCCTTTCAGAGGTGCAAACATAAGTAAAGGTTGTTTTAGCTTAACACATTACCTTCATTGTTCTAAAGCCATTGTAATAAAAAAGACAAATAAAATCTTACAAATGCATATCCTAACAATAGCATCCATTATAGTAATCCAGTATTTCATCCTGTGTAATGGTTGGCTGAGTTCTTCTAAATGTTTGAAGTTCCTTCTCTAATTTCTGCTTTATTGTTCTGGAAGCAGTCGTTTTCAGTCCTTTGTTTTTCCTTCATGTAACTGCCACCAACTATTAGGGACGTGGGGGCGTAAAAAAGGGGATCCTATGGTGTCTACATGTCACTTTTTAGTCCTTAACTGAACTTTTACAATGTTTAAATGCTTTACTGCCCATTGTTGCAAGCTTTATAGTCCTGAGGTCTCACGTTTTGGATACAGTTACTGCATTTTAGGCTGAAGGAGTTCATGAAATTAGAGATCACCAGGTTTGGGTTGAGAATTGAGCTGTTGCATGATTATTTGATTACTGTAGTTAATTACTGTGAATGCCATGCTTGCCAAACTGATAGTATCAAAGTCACACAAACATTAGCACCCCAAGCTAGATAACTGTTTTTGTAAATGTCCTTATGACTTGTTCTTCTTGTTCCACCTTGCAAATGATGCTGCAATATCAAGTTCTGCAAGGCCCTTCCAATACCTTTTTTCTAGTGTTGTGGTGTTGATATTTTGGTACATCCGGCATCAACATTTTCCCCCTACCTTTGAATCCCGTGAAATAGATCCCTAGTAGCCTCGTCATATGATGCATATAAGGTTGATCGCTTTTGAAGTTAAAAATCTTCTTATTTTGTCTAACCTGAAATAATTTTTAGCCATTAAATGTTTCTGTGATCCATACATTTGATGTTAAGTTCCTCATGTTAGTGTGAGTGAGAGTAGAGATGGGAGGGCCAGAGGGAGACTTAGTTTCAAATCTTACTGATAAAATACAGTTCATGTTCTTTTTTTCAGGGTTGGCAACTTCTCAAATTGCTAGCACTGCTTTTACTTTGGGAACAACTGCTGTTCTCCCATTTTACACCCTCATGGTTCTGGCACCTAAAGCTGAACTAGTATGTTTCTGTATTTATTTCAGTCCTCTGATTCTCGTTCAATGTAGCAATTTTAGTTCATCCTGTGTAGATTAATTGTTTTAGATTGGTGTATACGATTGAAAGCTGTTATATGAGTGCATTTGGCTATATGCATATGCTTTATTTTTTCCAAATTGCTACACTCCCTTCCCTAAATTCCTTGTTTTCTGGTTCTTGGTTTCCGTATTAGTTAATTCAGGTTGTCAATGTATGGATGGCATAATTCGTCTCAAATGGAGTCTTTATGACTTTTACAATATATCTCACAAAATTACATTTTCCTCATTCTCCTTGTAACTCTTATTTGAAAATCCATTTGTTTATTCTTGATGATTTTCTGAACTCAGACTGATGCACCCAATTATTTCAACTCATGTAAAATGCAGACGAAAATTTCTATGGAAAGTAGTATACCGTATATTGTCCTTGGCATTCTCTATGCTTATCTACTATACCTCTCTTGGACTCCTGAAACACTTCAGTTGATTTTCGCAAGTAAATACTGGCTTCCTGAGGTGTGTATTAGCATGTATACTTTCGGTAATCTTTTCTGATGGGTTTTGAAAATTTCTTATAAAAAATTTTATTTTCTGCTTATGTACCATGTGCAGCTGCCTGGTATGGTAAGGATGTTTTCCAACGAGATGACATTAGCTTCTGCTTGGATTCACTTGTTGGCTGTTGATCTCTTTGCTGCAAGGTAGCTCCCTCTCCCTCTCTCCCTCTCTTGCTCTCGTGCGTCCGTGACTTTCTCAGTTCTAACACTCATTGTTCATTCATCCAGGCAGGTTTTTCGCGATGGACAGGAAAACGAAATTGAGACCCGGCATTCAGTTTCTCTTTGCCTCTTTTTCTGCCCCATTGGAATTGTTACTCATGTCGTTACCAAAGCACTGACAAAAAGTGCTGGGAGTTCCAGCACAGGTAATATGCATTGACAATTAAAATTCTTCCTGAACAAGAACAATCAGGATTAATTGGGAAGTTGAATAAGAAAACTTTGAATTTGAATGAAGGTTCTTATGTTGTCAGCAATTTACAGACATTTTCTCTTTGCAAGCACTGATCTCAAAGTTTCTTCATCAGATACAGTCACAAGTCATTTATCTTTGTTATGCGGGTGGATATATTATTAATTATGAAATATGTCATGAAATGAAATATGTTATTTTATTGAATTTATTAATTAAAAGAATACAAGATCAAATTCAGGTAAAAACAATATGAAACATCAAGTACTTGTTGAAATATATGGATGTATGCAAACGGAAAAAGCATAGATTAATGAAAAGACCGTCATTATCAACAGCGAAAGATGGATACTAACAATATTACTACCTAATTAGCCTAAGAACATGGCTGTGGTGGCTTTGCTGGGGACAGCTCCTGTGGTGGTGGCGGCGGGGTAGGCAGCGATGGAAACTGCTTCGGTCGTGGTAAGAAATGAAGTGGAACATGAGGTTTTGGTGCCGGCGGTGGGGATCTCCCGCGGAATCTTGACACTAGTTTTAATTCATTCGTGGAAAGGCCGGAGAAACCATCAGTGGCCTTAACCATGTAACTCGACTGTGACAGTAGTAGTAGTCCATAAATCAACAACAAAATTAGCAAACTTGGATTGGCATGCATTTCTGTGTAGCTTCGCTTTTTCAGGTGGAGAGCCGCAACATACTGCTGTTTTTATAGCTAGCCATTAATGATTTTGTTGGGATAAACAAGTTTTCCTTATCGATTGAATCTTTCAAAAAATAATATATAATAACAAAAATACCACTCCTGTCTAGTGGAGTCTCGTGCACAAAACTCCTAAGAAATATTGTATGCAAAATGAAGAGGCACTTCTTGGAGATTGTGAACATTATAATTGCACTTGTTATCCTTTATGATCATGTAAATTTTTTTCATTTTTTAATACAAGCGATAGTCCAAACTGAAAGGAGGTTTGAACTTCAAATAATTGGTCTGCAAGTCAATGCCATTTTCCACTAGGTTAGACTCATTAACATATGATCAAGTAAACTTAATTAAAATAATTGAGGCAGTGTGGAACCAAGAGTTGAAAATTGAAAGTAAATACAGCTAAACCTAATACTATATCTAGAAAGAAAATTTTAAAAATAAAAAAAAATTGACAGGGTTTTGACTGGATGTTTAGAATTTTTCAGTATTTGCAAATCGGGTTAAAATGATACAATAAACTAAATAAAATAATATGATTGAAACAAAACTCAACAATACCAATAAATTTATTTTAATAAGCATAAATAAGTACATTTTGTAGACAGATGTAAAGAACCTTACATTTTGTAGACAAATGTGTCTTTATACACAAATAAAAACTTTGATAAAAATACAACAAAAAATAATGCAAAACTAAGCCCTGAGAACATGGTTCTGGTGGCTGCACCAGTGAAAGACCTTGGCCGTCTCTTTGGTGGCGGCAGCGGAGGTCACCATATCTTCAACCGTGGTATTGGTAGCTTCTGCTTCAGCGGTAGTTGTGGAGATGGTGAGAAAGTATATTACATACGCAACAAATCATTTTTCTTTCTTTCTGATTAGAACATAAGCGACAAAGTTAAAATGCACCCGTCACAAAGTAATTATATTACTACGACCAAGACTCAGTAGTTTGCAATTCACAACAAAAACCCAAAAAAATGAATTTTGCTTCCAAATATGGTAACTTTATGCTTAACTCTACCTTTTAATTGTAAATCCAATTTAGGGGAAGTTCGTAGTTTACACTACACAAAAAGAAAAAATTTATTTTGTTGGTAAATCCGATTTTAGGTTTAAACTACACGAACATATTTTCTAATCGAATGAATTTATCCTATTTTATTTTCTTTTGTGTCATCTTTTATTTAATGTCATGAAAAATCTGTAACTATTGGTGACATATTCAGATGCCATTACACTAAAAAAAAGAAAGCGGGGGGGGGGGGGAAGAGGAACAAGAAACAGAAATTAAACATAATTTCTCAACTGACGACTTCAGCCACATTACAATGATCTGACTACTATGAAAAAGAAAAAAATTCAATTTTGACACAGCCATTGTGGGGTAGCTGATCATAAGATAACAGTAAGTTCTTAGCCTCAAAGCTACAATTAATTTGAAGCAAGAACGATGGCGAATATGCGTAATGAATAATATAAACCCATCCCTACTTCTCTCTCTATTCGTCAGATAGCAGGCGTCACTGGATGTCTACAATTGCTGAACATGGTTAGTGATTTCCTCAGGGCAAGATTGGGCCTGTAAAAGCTCCAAACGGTTGAAAGGAGGAGCAAACTGCAATATGTAATCTTCATCTGAGGCAAAACATGCAAAATTAGCACATTCATTATTTTAACAAATGCTCCATCTGATTGCAGAGGAAGCATTGCTACATTAAGCATAAATCTAAACTCACAACTACTTCAGCTACGGTAAAAGTTGAAAGAAAATTCTCAAAAATTAGTGTTTTGTTTTTTAATTAGAAGGGAGGAAGAGGAGAGAGATAAGAGATACAGAAGAGGAAGAACAGATTTAACTAGTTAAAATTGCTTTCAGTCTTTATTTTAAAAAACATGTGTTTTCTTCATCCTCTCTCGAATCTCCTTCTCCAATCTTTCTTAGAAGACAAAAAAGGTTCCAATATAAGATGATGCTATCTTTATACTTTTTTTTCCTGTTGATTGGGCAACAAATGGAGCTGAAAGGAAAAAGGATAGCAAATATTAAAAACTCACTCTCTTTAACTGTCCCGTACAGCCAGCATAATACCTCATCAGCAAATGCCAAGCAAACTCCTCCCTGCCAACCAGGTTCATTAGAAATGCCAACTAGTTTCATTACATGTGAAAAGAGAGCATTTATTGACCACAGCCGCAAGCAATAATCTTCAAATCCTAAGATGACCACAGCGGTGTTCGTCATGTACAACTTGAGACAGCTTTTGCTCAGGTTCACATAGTTACTACTATAGTGCATATCTCCTGACTAATTAGACTAACAATGTGAGTCAGATTACTTAAATCAAATGTTTTTTAAAGTTTGACAGGTAGGAAGGTGCCTGGGTGCATACTTGGCGATCATGTACATCGCAGAAAACAAAACTCACCTGCCAGTAGTTCTTCATTTTCACTCTTTGTGTTATATCTTTGGTTCTTAGTCTCTCTGTGCGAACAAGTCGACCGGCATCATCCCTGCATGAGAAAAGCAAAACAAAACAAAACAAAAAAAAGAGATATTTAAACAGATCTAAATTTGTAGAGCAGAAAATAAAAGAATTTCCACAGAAACTCTCCCAGTGCAAGAAACTGCACCTGGAATATACAATGCAGATGTGATTACTGCTCAGTTTTCTACGAATTCAAAGCTTGTATTTATGTCAATTATACGAACTACCATTCTTTTGCAGCCTTTAATATATATTGCTATCTAAACCATCTTAAGTAGCAATTGTACAAGTATTTGTCTAAGCAGCAAGAAAGTAAAGGCTGAAGTAGCAATTGGGGTTACCTAAATCCAATGACAATATAGGGAACACCCGCTAAGAATGATTGTATCTGCAGCAAATATAATAGAAAGTTAACTCTTTTACAATTAACAGAATTTACACCTGCTAAGAATGACTGAGACTGCAGCAAATATAATAGACGAGTTAACTCTTTTACGAATAACAGAATTTTTAAAATATAAATAGGGAAAGGACCAGAGACGATGACAAAACCCAATTCCCTGAGAAAATTAGACAAAGCCCGAGCACAAACAAATTGTGCAACTTTTCATGTCAATCTCTAATACAAGCTCATCAAGACTCATGTATTTCTATGTAGGAAAACAGTACGTACAGTAAAGAATGCACTAATGGGAGAGAAACATAAATATTAATTTCTCATAGTTAGTTAAATGTACCCAAAACTTGAGGAGCTTCTCTCTCTCAAATCTTTCCTCTGTATGATAATCCAACTGCAAAAGTAAAAGGAGAATTTATAGGTAAGAATAAGACTCGGAGAACAAAAAGAATTGCATGGGAGGGGGAAGCAAGTCAACCTCACGACTTGTCTTTAGCTCCACATAAAACCTCCTCCCATCATCAGTTGAATCACAACAATCCATTTCAGCACCCATTAGAATACGATGGGCCCCTAATTTTGTTTTGATCACAGAACAGAATTCAACATTGGCATCAACATGATGTATCCCTCCGTCACCTCTCCCTGGATCTTCAGTGGCAAGACTCTCAAAACAATAACCCCAGTAACACCTAAGTTGAAAAGATAACATTTGCATAAAGCACACCTGAAATTGAGAATAAGCAATAATGGAAAGAAGCATGCCTACACATGTTTAGGAATTTTGAACCAGTTAGAAGAAGTAGAACAAAATGTCAGTTACAAGTCACTTCTGAGGTATTCATCAATAAAAATAAAATATTCATCATCTCCCTCAGTACCTTCCTGTTTAATCCTAGCTGAAAGGAAGCATTTATACCTAAATTCAGTAAAGTAAATCATATACCTTATGAGATCACTTGTGCACAAACTCTTATGTACATCTCAGTACTATATTATAGTTTTCCAGCAAGAATGAAAAGCAACAAGCTTTGACACTCCTTATCAAAATCCCCTTTTTTCATAATAAAAAACTCGAAACAGTTAATTCATCCTTACATTTTGAGTACTAATGTTTGCAACCATTGATAGTCTTTTATAAATGTAGTTCTTAGGCAATAGAATTCATTGATTAGACCAGGGAATAACTTCATTGCCTAAACCAGGGAATAAATTTCAATTAACCCATAACATCCTAGAAAGACCATGTGAAATTTCTAAAAGAAGAAATGAAATTCCAGTACCTTCGACGATCCAATTCACTTTGTGGCCTTTCAGGTAGTTTATGCACATCAAGATAGACAACCCCATTCCTTTTATGCACTCCCATTTCCCAAGGCTCGTGCCGAATGTAAGCAGTGGCCAATATCTACACAAAAGAGAGAAGCACTTGAAACACACACACAAAAAATTGTTTACTAGACCTACAAAGACAATGGGTGAAATATTAGACTAATAAACAATGAGTTGAGGTATTATACAGCATTGTGTCTCTAGTATGTTGCTTCTGGTGGATCTTATATAATCGTAAGTACATAAAGATATTCTTTCAGTAACTTGAGTATCCCCTTAAAACAGCCATGAGAGGTCTGTTCGTATATTGGTTTGTGCATTGCACTGCTGGAATTTGTACCATCTTATCCAAGATTACAACACATCTACACTCCAAATTATAACTAATCTATGGTTCATCAACAATATCCAGTGAACCTAATAAAGAAAATGATCTTGAGAACAAAATTATGCGAAGTGACGAGGAGATACCTTGTTAAGATTGTTACGATAAGTCTGTCAAAGAGAAAAAAGGAGGAACAAATTTATTAGTTAACAACCGAATCAGAGAATTATACAATAACAAATTTAAAGTGCATATGTTTCGTACCACAAAATGAATATTTTGAAGCGGAATATTCTTGTCTCTTATGCAGGCAAGAAGGTCACCAAAACCTTGAGAGCCCAAATCTGGTTTAGATGGGGGAAAACAAGAAAAAGGAAAAACACAAATTTGCCTGCAAAAATCAGCCCTCATATGCATAACCCCAAAGAAACAAAAATAAACTAACTCCAAGACATAACTCTTTATAAAATCGTCACAATAATTTAGACACAAAGCATACCTTTCTTTCCAATAAAAGTATCATAACCATCATTGAGATCGGCTCCAATGTCTTCAGTAATAAGACGTTTGAAAAGCCTCTAATGTGGACAAAAGAACAATATAAATGAGTTAAAGACTGACATGGACTACCATATATGAGACAAACCTAACAAAAGAATGGCCCATTCAGAAAGCAAGCTACAGAATGCTTACCAAGCTGGTATCATCAAAGGTGACATCTCCACCTTCTACCCGACTATAGCAAGCAAGTTCACAGGGCTATTGGATAAAATTCTCAAATTAGCGGAGGAAAAAACAACTAATTTATATGCCATGCACCAGCCAATTGACAAGGACAACTTTTCAACATGTGGATTAAATGCCTTATCAACAAGTAATGGCTACAACAACCAAATTTACCGAACTGGCGCGGAAATATCCAATTAATACTACTTGCATCAGTTGAACCAAAAGCCAAGGCAACACTTGAAGGAAATTATTTTATAATTTTGAGAAAGGGAATAAACTAATGAGTCTGAAATTCAGACTGTCCCGCTAATCTCTTTTAGTTAAAACGTTTTAATAAGAAACTGTCTTAGTTAAAACATAAGAGTTAGATATGTTTATGCTTTCCATGCACCATTGATAAATCAACCTTAAAAGTTCTTGACTTATAAAGGAGAAAGAAAAGGTAGCACAGAGATTAATAATCAGTAGACTTACTTCCTGAAATGCAATCATCTTTCTCGATAGTGTTTCTTCACTCTTTGTAAGTCTTAGATCCGAAACAAATCGTTCATCACGATGACCATTTGAGAACTTTGAACCATAACCGTAATTATGCCTCTGTGGATAAGGTCCGGGTCGGGGAAGGATGCCTGCACCTCTGTCATTTGGATGCCCTGATTGCCAACGACCACGCCCAAAATTTCCTCTACCCTGATTATTAGTATTGCGTATGACAGGCAATACTGCCAAGAATAGTTTGATGAGTACGGGGATTTAGTACCAAAAATTCCGCAAGAGTAGCAAACTAAGCATTTAGACTGAAACCTTAACATTAACAGCTTATATCTTGTATTGAAACAAATTCAGCCTGAAAGTATCTAATATTAATCCCTCCCAACGTAAGCAAGTCAGAACAAAGAGGCACTCCAAAGAAATAAAAATTGCAGTCCCAAAATCACAACACTACGAAAAGAAATGATTGAAATAAATAGAGGCCAGAAGAAAAGTGGGTGGCACACAAAAATGCCCAATACCCATCAAAGAAGACCACTTGGGCAAGCCAGAAAACCCATCAACACAACCTAATAACCAACCAAATCACCAAAACGCAAAATATGCATCAAAGAAAATTACTTGGGCATGCTACAAAACCATAAATATTCGTATATAACTCAATAAGCAACCAAAATGCTAAGTAACCATGTTTTTAAGAAGACCACTTGGGCAAGCCAGAAAACCCATCAACACAACCTAATAACCAACCAAATCACCAAAACGCAAAATATGCATCAAAGAAAATTACTTGGGCATGCTACAAAACCATAAATATTCGTATATAACTCAATAAGCAACCAAAATGCTAAGTAACCATGTTTTTACTATGCTAGAATGACCATCTACACAACAAAATAAGCAACTAAAATACCAGAAAACTATACCAAATCCATACAAAACACCAACAACAACAAAAGTAATTACCAGGAATAAGGAAAGGACTAGTAGCAGGGGTTTTACAGAAATCTTCATTATCAGACCCGAACAGATCCTTATCTCCATCCCCAAAATAACCCCTATTGTTAAACTCATTGCTGTTGGCGGCGTTTGAATTATCAGCCTCGTCACCATTCTCTTCCTCTTCTTCACCACCACCACCCCCAGCACTGCTGGCGCTTGGGCTATTGCCACTGCTGGACTCGCCTCCATCGCTGCCGTTGGATGAAGAAGAAGCCGACGACGATGAAGATGATGAAGACGACGATGATGAGGAGGAGGATGGTGAGGATGAATGGGCCGCATCTTGGGTATTATGGTCGTCGTCATCATAGTCCTGGCCGAAGATATCTTCGTGCTGCTTTGAAAAATCCATCGAAAGAGCCCCTTTGGGGAAAAATCTTTGTGGGTTTTGGTTCGATTTTTGGTTTTTGTTAAGTTCTGTTTGTGGGTCTGTGTGTGTTTGGAGCTGGAAATTGTATGTGGGAGACTGAGTTGTTGTGGAAGGTGACTCGGTTACGAGTTCACCCGGTGAGCGGGCTCGAAGCTAACTTTAATTTTGTTATTAGCTTTTTTAAAGGTTCATTTTGAAATTATTTTGTGATTTTCAGCATACAAAATTAAAAGGAAAATCTTTTTTATTTCTTTTTTAGCAGTAATAAAAGAAATCCAACTTACTTAAACAAAAAAAATAAAACGACGTTTTTTGTCGTAAAACCATCCAACTTAATTAGGCCTTCTCCAACCCAATTTTTTTGGTCGTAAGGCTTTCTCCAACCCATTTGGAGCTAAACTCAAATTTTCATCCCCAAAAAGTAACTATTTGGGTTTTGTCTGGACTCAAATCATTTTTTCTCCCCACACTCCGGATTCAAATTTTAAGTCCGCAACTTTATTAAATTGTTTAAGAATGATTTAAGTCTATTTTTTTTTATGAATAACTTTTCTCCATTTAATCTTTTTAAATAACTTCATAATTTAATTTTTTGAAAAATTTGACCTAAAAAAATTGAAATTCCACAAATATAATGTTTTTGGTACATTATTTGAGAAATTAGTGGGTATATATAGAGTTTGGGGTGAGTTTTGGATTGGATCTGATTTAGATTAAATTAAAATATTATTTTGATCATTGGATTTAAATTTCAGCTATTGGGTCTTTTTTTTAACCGTTAAAATAGCTTAGATTTAATATATATCATTGATTTAAGTTAATATTAGAATATATAAAAATAAACAAATAACATCACTATAAGCCAAGCAAAGGATAATCTTTAATAACCAACACATGGGCTGTTGGTAGGCCCCAACAATGAAAGCTTGCACATGGGGTGTTGAGGCAACAGGTGGGCTCCACTAATTTTTTTTTTTGGGTCCAGGCAATAGATGGACTACCATTTGGCCCCAAGTTTGGGTTTTCCCACATTTTGGCCCCTTTATTTTCTTGGGTTGGGATAAGTTTTGGGCAATAATTTGGGATTTTTTGGGTTTGGCCTCATGAGTTGGAGATGGCCTAAAACCATCACTAAACCCAAATTTTTCCCCTCCCAAAAGTAACTATTTGGGTTTTATCCGGACTCAAACCGTTTTTTCCCTTAACCCTAAAGATTCAAATTTTAAATCCACAATTTTATTAAATTGTTTAAGAATAGTTTAAGTCTAATTTTTTTTATTATATAAAATGGATAACTTTTCTTCATTTAATATTTTAAAATAACTTTATAAATTTATTTATTTTTTTAACAATTTGACCTTAAGAAATTGAAATTCCAAAAAAATTGAAATGGGTGGGTGTTTATAGAGTTTGAAGTGAGTTTTGGGGTTGGATATGATTTAGATTAATTAAAAATATTATTTTAACCGTTGGATTTAAATTTCAGCTGTTGAATCTTTATTTTTACCGTTAAAATAACTTGAATTTAATCTAGATCGTTGATTTTGGTTACTATTGGAAAAAAAAAAGAAGGGTGGATTCCAACGACTACATCACATGCACACGACACGTGGGGCGAGGAGGTCTGCAACAATAGCAGCAACGCGGGCTTGTTTCACAGCTGCTTACATATGGCTTGCGTCAGCTTTTAGTGGGCTCCACCGAAATAGTTTCCAATTCAGGCAATAGTTGGAGGTATTTAGCCCCAAGTTTGGGTTTTCCCAAATTTTGGCCCTTTAATTTTCTTGGATTGGGAGGGAAATTGAGCTAAAATTTGGAATATTTTGGGTTTGACCTCATGGGTTGGAGATGGCCTTAGAGTACATATCAGACAAGCCCACAAGTGTTTTGGGTTACAATTTTGACCCTAAACCCACCTTTCATGTAAGTTTTGAATAATCTCAAGTGACACTTCCATCTGACCTACTATTTTCATCTTGTCCTTTTGGCTCTTGACAAAAATGAAATCAATCTCCCCATGTATGAAAATTATTGTTTTGACCATTATTTTATATTTGAAATATAATCAATTTGTTTATCTTCCAATTATGATTCATTTTTACTTTAATTTTGCGCAAAAGGCCTTCAGGTCCAGGGTTGATTACTTTGCGACATTGGGTCCCGCAGTTCACTTGCTCGGGCCAGCTTCAAGCTCTATAGTTCACTTGTTCGAGAGCTTGACAACCCTAAGTCTTACGGCTATCGACATGTCACGACTCGATTCGAGAATAAAGAATATTCCTGAATCAGGGTATGAGTCATACCATAGTTAATAATAAAATCCTACAACCATAATATGATGAGAAATAGAGCCACAAATAATACAAATTCACTTAATAACACAGAATTAAAGTCGCAGTAGCTCGTAGTTAAATACACACTAGGATCCTTATCAAATGGTTGACTACTTACAAATATTAATTACACAAATCAACAACAAAAGCCTAGTAGCTTGGTTGAAGCTCGCTTCCTCAAACTTCGCCTTGAATCTTGCACAATCTGTTAGGGGATGAGCCTTCTAATGCCCAGTATAGTACCATTAAAACCCTCAAGGTCAACTATCACAGTTAATCAAAGTGTCATGCATCAAACAACACAAGATACATAAATTATACAACCAGTCCATAATAGATAAATAAATTTGCATATGCAATGATGCCATGGGCTCACTGTCTTATAATCCTATTAATTCATACCTTAGGACAATAAGCGTGTATGTCCCATACCATACGTATTACCACTGTGACTCCGAATACCCTAAAATATGAACTAGCGCCCATCCATCCCTTAACCCCATTTTTTATTTACGAATTCATAACTTTCACTTTTAATTAAAGACCCTACTCCCATCACCTAACTATATTCTGGCCCTACTCTTGTCACCTAAATATATTCCACATTTTTACTAAAACATATCTAAGGCCTTCTCCCACCCCTTAGATATACCTCGAGCCAAACACAAATCCAAAACAAAACCGTATTTATGATGTATATGTAATGCAATTCAAATATCATTTATCTCTGTGGAATAATAATAGAGATAATAAAAATAATATTTCAAGTTTAATCACATTAATAATCACTTAATATCAAATAATATCCATAGAGCAACATCCATAATAATATTCACATGACATCAAATAGTATTTCATCAAACATCAAATAATATTCATCGAGCAAAACAACAATAATATTCATATTTATAGTACTATATATAAGCACCAAGATTAAAAGTGACATAGCCCAATCATCGAGAAATCAGGAAACTTTTCCTCGTGTCCAGCTAGCTAAAGTACTAATTTACCATTCGGAAGTTCTCGCATTCGTCGAATCTACACTTTTGATCCAATTCCTAAACAAATCCAAATCCAAATTATTATTGAGCAGTCTTTGCTCTATTTCACCTAAGACCAGTAAACCTCAATCTTACACATTTTAAAAATTCTATGTGAAAATGACAAAAATGCCCTTGGGACCAACTTAGGGTCCAAAGCAGTCAAATCTCATCCAAAATAATCTAAAATTGTGTCATACACCCTGTCAACACCGAAACAAGGCCAATGACACCCGTTGTCCAAAAGTCACTATTTGGGTTTTTTGGGCCTCACATCAACTGACACTTCAAACAAAATCCACCAAGATGCACAACCTCGGATAGGGTCCAAAGCAGTCAAATCTCATCCAAAATAATCTAAAATTGTGTCATACACCTTGTCAACACCGAAACAAGGCCAATGACACCCGTTGTCCAAAAGTCACTATTTGGGTTTTGTGGGCCTCACATCAACTGACACTTCAAACAAAATCCACCAAGATGCACAACCTCGGATTGACTCAAAACATATACCATCGGACTCGGATTGAGTTGAATGACTAAAAATATGGCGTCGGAAGCTGTCGGAACAGCCACAACTCGCCGAAGATGCGAGTTCTCTTAGCTAAGGTTACTGTTCATCTTCTCCAAAATTCTGCAATTTATCCTATTTCTTCCCAATTTGTGTGCTTCATTGTGACTGACAAAACTTCAGTGAGAAAGGAAAATTTTATAACAATTTTAAAGCATGTTATCTCTAGTTTCTAACCCAACAAACCACACTCAAAACGGAGCTAAAACGAAAGAGAAATCAAGCTCCAAAGTTGAGCTCATGGCAGGTTTTCTGCAGATTCTGCACAAAAAAAACATATTTTTCTCCAAACATTTGCAGCCGCATTTGACATAACAAAACTTAACTAAATTCAACGAAACCAATTGCGTTTTGTTCCTTGACAAGTCTAGTTTAAAACCCAACAAATGAAATCCTCAAACACTCAAAGGATTAGGAGAAAAAGATAGCCAAAGTGAGGCTCGTGTACTGAATATTTCCAGAAAAAGCAAATTTCCATATTTGGTTAAAGTTGATTTCATCCATCCTAACTCACCAATCGTTCCTATAGCTTCGAACTCACTCCAAACTTCACACCTACTTCTCAAAAGACTCGAAACAACTATAAAAATTAAATTACTTGAAATAATAAATATCCTCACCTTTCAATACCAAATCAAGAACATCTCCAAGCTTCTTCCTCTTCTTCTCCCTCTTACTGTCTCCTCCATTCATCCCACTTTCCTTAGCTCTAATAAAATCAGATTGATTAGGGAGGATCCCTTAAGCTAGGTGACTTATAACTTTAGGCTAGGTGACTCATCCTTTTATAACGGTGGATTTGAAAACTTGAGACAAGGGGAAAGAATTGGGAGGAAGAATGGGATGTTGTCCTCCACGTTTCAGATTCTTCTCTTCTTTTTTTCGCCTACAAGGGGATTTTGGTAATTTTCACACTTAGGGGTATTTTTGGTCATTTTGGCTAAAAATTCAAAAACGATTTTCTACGCATTCACTAAGTCGAATACTATCATTCTACCTAATAATCATAATGGTCTCACTTCAATTTCTTATACTTCCTTTGAAAAATTCACAAAATGTTACGTAATGGCATTTGTGTCCAACTTGAAATTAAACACACTTAATCTAAGGGGGGTGTATTCAATTGAGATTTTAATAGATTGTAATTACATGATTTTAATGTGATGGATTTCAGCTGAATTTGTAATTATATGACTTTAATAGATTGCAATTACATGATTTTACTTATGATTTTAATTCACTTAGGATTTTACTTATAATTTTAATAGATCGTAATTACATGATTTTACTTCTATTTCTATACAAGCTTGAACTCTATCACCCAGCATCATTCACATAAATACATAACCTGAAGTCATATACCATTACACTATATACAAGGAAATATCATGATTGTGGCATGAGAGCAAGTCAGAGCTGAATCGAGGATGTAGATAGAAAATCATCACGAATATGTGAAGTGGTCCAGAGTGCCACCAAAGTAGTTATGCCTTTACGTTATTTATTCTTGAAAAATCACTTTGACAACTGTTTGTTTCATCTGTTCAGATTTTGAAACAATTCATGAATTCAGATTTTGAAAAATTAATGTTATGTGATGACTTCTTAACATCTGTGCTTTTGATATTTTCATCCCCAAAGAGCAGGAGATTCTAAAAAAAGTACCAAAAATATAATTTTGCTATGAAGAAACTTGTCTACAAGGAAAGAAGAGCCATTGGAAAATGCCCATTAACTCTAGAAGTGGCAAAATCTTCTCTCTTGTTAATGTTTCTTTATCGTCTCTCTTAAGAAATTTTTTTTTTTAGGTTTTTTGTACAGTAGAAAGCATGAAAAAATAGTGGGGAAAAAAAAAAGTATGAGTGCATATATGAGAATCGTGCATAGGAGGGTGGGGGTTTGTTATGTGATTTGGTATTTATATCACACACTCAAAAGTCTCACACAATACATCATTTAATGAAATACATTAAAATCAGTAAGTTTTTTTAATACCATGGTACTTTTTCTTATCTTTTAAAAGTCATAATTGAAAACTACCGGACTTGTATTGATTATTTAAAAATCCTAATTGAATACCACCAGACTTTTATTGATTACTTAAAAATCTTAACTGAATATCGCTGTAATTTTAAGCTTCGAAACAATCCATTAAAATCTCAATTGAATACACCCTACCCCAAGTGCAAGTCAGGACTTAAATCTCAAGTTCAAGTTAGGACTTAAATGGGGTGTATCCAGTTGAGATTTTAAAAAACTATTTAAGGATAAAAAAAATCAAGTGGATTTAATTAGAATGTAATGACTTATTGGATTTTATTGATGGATTTGTATAATTAGGATTTTTAACTTTTGGATTTTAAAGATTATATCATAAGATTTTATAAGATTTGAAAGGACCACGTGGATTTATATCATAAGATTTATATATGGGCCTGACTAAATAGGCCTACAGCCCAAACCAAAATTTGAAACTATTTTAAATATCTAGCCCGATAGATATAGTGAACCCAAAGTTTCATACCCTTAAAAGAAAAGAAAAAAAGGTAGCCCATGTATTATCCACAAGTACAATAGCCAACATGGACAAAAAGGTGTTTGCTCCCAAGTTGTAGCTTGATATTGATGTGTCATTTTATGGGGTTAGAAGAATGCGTTTCCTTCAAGGATGAAAATAAGAATGACGACATTCATGGTTACAATAGTGCATTCCCATGGATGAAAACCAACATAAATAAAAGCATAGTTCCATCTCTTGGAAGGAACAAAATCGATGTGGAGACTTTTAAATAATCCCCCAACTGTGCAGCTCCTGAGATATGACCGTCTCCATGCTATAACAAAATAATGTTACCACTAAATTGACTAGGAAAAAATAATAACATTGATTTGATGGCATCAGAAAGACAATTCTGGAGTTCCAAATCATTCAGTTTGATGAATGACAGTTTGCACAGGGTTCCAACTTGGCTACGTTACATAACTCAAAGGATAATGCTTGCAGAAAATAAAAACAACCACAATAAACAAGGTCAAACCGTGAAACCATTGACTAGCCGAAAACCATTGAGTGATGATAACCATGACTCAACTCCTACTCCTGTTTCAAGCCCAATGTAAACACCAAACATGCGCCATAAACAAAGACACAATGAAATTTGAAAACTGGAAGATAATCAACGTAACTCTATTATCCTCAAGACATCTTTCCCAATTAGAAAGATCCCCTAAAATGGAAAAAAGAAGAGGTAAGTTTTCCAGGATTTTCTTAAACCAACAAGGCAAGAAGATTAGCGCAACATGATTTGAAGGAAGAAGGGTTCACGAAGAGCTCAATGCATGTATGTTCATCTTCTCTAGTAGACAAAAAAAAATCTCACATGAAAAGTCTGATGGATTATGGTGGGATTTGAGATAGGGTTTGGTATTTATACCTCCCACTAAAAAGTCTCACACAATTCCACATTTAAAAAAATCCTTTGAAATTAGAAAGTTTTTGAATACCATAAGACTTTTTGTTACTTGTTTAAAGTCTTGATTGAATACCAATAGATTTTGACACTCTCTTTAAAAAATCTTAACATCGTTATTTCCTCCATCGATATCAAATTTCTCTTACCATTTATTTTTAGTCTTGGCAAAACGACACTTGTAGTCCCTGTGGTTTTCAACTTTTACCACTAAGGTCCCTGTGATTTCAATTTCGTCACTTTTGCCACTATGGTTTAGGATTCCAAGCAATTCAAGGACACTTCTCAATTTCCCGTTAGATTCCTTTTAGTTTTGTTAGGGCCTGAGCACGTGCCTCTCACATGGAGGGGCATTACGGTCAAATCCACCCATCTTATAAACCCAAAACACTGGCTTATCCTTGCCCATTCGAATTAGGTGATTTTGGGGGAAGTTTGGGAGATGTCGAACTCTGGCCAAGTTCCAAGGTGTCAATTCTGTAATGGTGAAATGAGATTGGGAATCTCCAAGACAGATAGGACTCGCAGGAGACGTTTTCTGGAAATGCACTAGATCTTATGTAATTTGCAAATTTATTTTTGTCAATTTTTGGTTATAAATGATGAATCTGGTTTTTGTGCTGGATTTATTTGGGATGATGAACCAATTAGATTCAATCAAGCAAGCAGAGAGAATGAAGCAATGAGAGGAGGTGAAGGCATTAATGGTTGGCTTGGAAGATGAATTGCAGAAGCCCAAAAGGTTGCAAGACTCTACTGTAAATTCCCTAAATGGAATTAGGGATTTGTTGCTTTTGATTTGTGGATTTCTACTATTAATTTATGTGTTCTTGATCATGATTGTGGTTATGAAGTTGGTAAAAAATTGAACGTTGGCACCATTCCCATCTGTTATGTATTCTGAATGTTGTAGTGTGTAAATTGAATGTTGTAGTTCTTTTGGTTTTGAAATTTGCAAGGAATGTGGAATGGAAGCTTTATTTTGATTCAAATTGCCTTATTCAATTGACATGTGTTTCAACAACTAAACTTGACAATTTCATGCTACAATAAATTTCCTGCTTACTCATTTGATATAATAGAATGCTAAATACTGCTAACAATCAATCTGCTGCTCCCATTCAATTCCAAAACAAGTCACTTTCTATTCCAAAACAACTTCAAAATGCTATTACATAACAAATGTTCCAGCAACCAAAAAGATTCAGAATGTTAACAACTGATGTCACATTCAAAACATGCAGCAATTCAAAATATTTTTACATTCAAAAGGTGCAACAATTGAAAGGTTCAACACTTCAAATTCATAAGGTCCAGCAACTGAAAGGTCCAACACTTCAAAATACTTTTATATTCCCAACTTCAAATTATATTCCCAACTTCATTACTTCACAAAATAGTCAAGAATATGAATATGTTTCACTTTAGTTGTATTTCTACTTCTTTCACTTCCTTGGTGCTTTCCCAAGTGATTTCCACGGAGCACTACTGCTAACTCTCAACAGTCTTGGACCTTGCCTTGGAGTTGGATGCATAGAAGCAGATGGATTCACAGAGGGAGAAGCAGATGGATTCACATAACTCGATACACCTTGCTGCAAAGTTGCATGTGATTAGCTTTTCCTAATCTACACAGAAAACAATAATTTTACCAATCATTGTAATATACATGAAGTTGGTTAAAAAAATTGAAAAATTATGAACTGAAACTCACATGAAGCTTTCTTCTTTGCACATTCATTTGAGAACTATATGCATTGGTTTGAGAACCTCTTGCATTTATTTCAGAACCTCTTACATTGATTTCAAAACCATATGCATTGGTTTGAGAACCTCTTGCATTCATTTCAAACCTCTTGCATTCATTTGAGAACCATATGCATTGGTTTGAGAACCAGAGCCTTTTTTTCTTTGAAGGATACCCAGTTGTCAATTAACAAAGTGAAGGAAAAGAAAATAGATTTGATCTGAAAAAAAATTTTGAAGTTAACAACTAACAAAGTGAAGGAAAAGAAACTGAAACAACTAGGCTTTACCTACGAAAGGATCCTTCAAGTGGCACCCATCTACTCCAATGATGAGTCTACAACCAGCAAGAAAGCCATTTTTCCATGCATCAAGGCATACATAAAGCCTCTGAAAATGTGGAGGAGGCTCCATCCTTATCTTGACAGGACTCGCCCCGAACTCTTCGGAATCTAGGACAAATCCTGTGGTAATTCCAACATCATATTGATGTTGGGCCCACTTACTAAAGAAACGAGACTTTCTGCCGATATTTTGGCAAAGTCACCCTTAAAAAATGGACATTCCCAAAATTCTCAACCTGTTAAAAACACAGTTATACATCTCAAC